CTTTCTTTCCTTGACTCATTTCTTGCATATTTTACTGTACTTTTTTCCCACTTCTTCATTCATTCCATTCTCACTGATTTATTTTACTGATTTCTTTCCCTTTGTAATTGTTTTCAGTGTTTACGTGTCTATGCTACCTATTCTACAAACAAGCCAATATATTCTTGTAGAGTACTAAACTTCAGGTATGTTGCTTCATTGGCCAGTAGATGGTTGCAGTTATGTAAAAAGATAAAATTAACACAGGACGTTAAGCCTCCGTCAGGAGTAAAGAGGAAGAATTAATGACGAAGGATTAACGTCTGAAATGTCAGTAAGTTATTTTATCTACTTTTTTACAGAGTGTTAAATTTACCTTTTCACATAACTGTCTCTTTAGAAACACTGACGCAGCTCACACTTGTTTACCGCTAGTTCCCACCAGTAGACATGGCTAAAAGTCTTTTGGGAGTTTCCACAAATTTGCTATCCCGAAATAGAAAAGGAGACTGGAAACAAGCATGCACATAGTCCCTTTATCAAATCCAAAACCCCGTTGTGCACATGGGTGCGATTAGTGTACTGTACCAAATTTGGTTCTATTTGGTTAAAGTCTCACAAAATGGCAAAATTTTCAGATCTGAAAAAATGAGAGCGAATGTATGTTTGTAGTCTTCAATTTTTTTAGTTTTTAAAAAAAGAAAAACGTTTATTGGCACCAGTGAGTCCCTTTTTGCATTTCAGAATGGTCAATTTTATTTCACAATGTTATTAGTAAATTTATGTACTTGTCCAAGTCTTTCCTGGCCCCAAGCCAACATCTCATGAGTTTCAGAAAATGCAGCTGATTGCAGAAAATGGGTGAATTGAATTTCAATGCAGCAAGGAAAAAAATAATATAAAAGTGATCTGCCATTTTTGAAAATGCTATCATTATTGAGATTTTATTTAATTCAAGAAGGCAAGTGAACTCTCATCATAAGATTTACACACGTTGCATCTTGTCAACAAACTAAAGTGTTTAACGTCTTTTGTTTTACTAGGAGTGGCAGCGTTGTTGCCAATGTACAGATTACTTATCCATCTACAGTTAGTAACCCAAGAGAGCCCTTGGAGAAAGCAATTGAAACAGGCACATTTGCAGGACAAGCTGTAAAGAAGTCATTTGTCAGCCCTACAAAAGGTAAGTACTATAAGCTATTTGGGGTATAGATTGATGCACAAAAAATGAGAAATTGCATTGAAATTACAACCACCACTTGATAAAGGCAAATTGTAAATTTGCAATTGTAAAATTGCTGACTCAGACAGGGTTATACATGTTTAAAAATATACTTGAATGAAGAATACAAAATGTGTTAAGAGTGGCCACTGTAACCTGTATTTGCCATAGTAATATTTGAACTGTATGTAAGTTGGTAAAGGAACATGAGAAAACTTTGAGAGTTGGAAAATCTAATGAAACCCATCCCTGAAATTTAAGGCTTAAGTTCTGATTGAAACAAAAGATTGTATATTGGAAATTTCCCAGGTCTCTAACTACTTCCTTGTGTGACAATATGGTTTTCCATATAATTAGAGCAATCTTCTCGTTCAACATGTTATAACACCAGTGGGAGGATTGTCATGTTCTTTTTATAAACTGTTGGTACCAAAATTGTGGTTATAGGCTTGGGAAACTGCCAAACCTATTCCAGTGTGCAATATCAAAGATAATCATGGTAGGACACAACCAGAGCTTACTAAAAAAAGAAATAGCAAAAGTTTATACTTACATGTATAGCAGTCTTAAAAGATACATGTGAACTCTCTTTTGACACACTAAGACCAAGACTTTCAATGAAACTTGTTTCGCCTAATAATAATATTAATAATAATTTATTACTTATATTGCCCATACTCCATGTGTAGATGCTTGCATGGGCATAACATGCTTGCATGGGCATAACATAACATCAGACAGAAAAAATAAAACTATTTACAATAATATGGTTATAACAAGTGTCTCAACTATCTTGGAAACACCTTTTTAAACAAGAAGGTCTTAAGCTGCATTTTGAATTCCGAAATCAATGAATAACCATGCAGTGCCTTAAAAGTAATGAGTAAAATTTTCAAAAGTCAATTCTAAATTTTATAGTTAGCCAGTGTAAGTCCATAAGGGTGGGCGTTATGTGATCAAAATGATTCACATTGCAGATATTGAACTTTACAATCATTGGTATGTTACACAGTTGATTAATCAACCAATGATTGAAAAGGTCAATAGATGAAACATGTTTTATTGAAAGTCTTGKTCCTTGCTTGTCAAAAGAGATTGTTCRCATGTACCATGAAGCTTACAAACTCTTTGATGATCAAATTTAAGAAAAATTCTGGAAAAGATCTTTAAAAGGTTTTTAAAGCCCGTGTAAATATATTTGCCTTTTCATTGAAGCAAGAATATAKAAAAAAATTATTTGATAAGTATCTGCAGATATGTTCTGATTTGYTCTGCTGATATACTGAGGCATGTTTACATTTATTTTTAGTATAAGTTTAACCAAATGCATTTAACTAACGTTTATAGGCATACAAAAAGCACTCTRTGTGACAGATAGCTCTAGTAGAAAGATGGAAAGAAAGTTAAATACTCCTTCTTGCATCCCTTTCCTAGAATTGCTTTCTGGCTATAATAAAACAAAAAAAAAAGATTTAGATATAGATATAGCTCCTGAAACAGATTAGRGTGTACAAAACAGTTTAGTTCTCATTAATTTTGGAAACCATATATGACCGTTTTATTTTAGCTCCAACAGAATCAACTCAGCCAACAGAATCAACTGTTGCATCTCCTTCAGATGGTCCAGATTCTGGCAAAAGAGCTGATGGTGAARRTGGATTGTCAACTGGTGCGGTTGTTGCCATAGTTGTKGTTTTCTCAATCATCTTTATTGTTATCATCATTGTTGTTGTGGTTTGCTTGCTGAAGAGRAAAAAGCCTGGTAAGCATTTAGCTACATGTACTATGAAATATCACACCATCTTTCTCATTCAATTAAGAACAAGCATCAAGTTTTAGATTGTACGTRTAGGTTGTACAAAATGAGGGTACAAAAAATGATGAAAATGGATATTTGACTTCAGCAATAGTTCTTGTGATAAAGTTAATGGAGTACTTCAGTGATATGATTTTTGCTCTCTATTTTTCTGGAAATATGAGTCCATCMGCTGGATTTTCAGTGACCTCATCAAATGAGGAATCATGCAAAGGAAAATAATTAATCTTTGTATATTGATACTGTATATTATTACAGGTTAATATAGATAAATAAAACCATTTTTTGGACATTAGAAAAAGGGCATGTCAATAAAAGGTTGACAGTTGTCGCTCAAGTGGTAATGTCATCACTAAAATGTGATATCTTTAACATTTCACTAAACATAGAGTTAAACAAAACATAATGAAAAGGTCTTCTCTTTACTCTTTCACAATTAGGAGATATATAACAACTTTAATGGTAGAGTGCAAGTCACATAAGCATGAAACAATTCTTAACTATGTAGTGCTAAATAAGATTTAGTTATCAACTAACTAAGAATTGAGAGCAATGCTACAAAGGAATTTAAATAATTGGCATTGTGTTTATGCTTGTTGAATTCTTAGTTAGTTGATAACTAAATCTTATTTAGCAATACATATTAAGAATTGTTTCATGCTTATGTGAAGTGCACTCTATTGACTTTAAAGTCATGCTATTTCATTTCATTCCAGCTCCTAAAAAATCATATGATTACAAAGAAGATGGTAAAAACCAACCAGCTGCTTCCCCTCTCAAGTCACAGCCCTACAGAGATCCAGGCTATGACAATGGACCTGATGTGAGTATTGATTTCTTTTTTAATGTTTTTTTTTTGTGTCTTAAAGTATAGAATATAAGAGTTCTTGTTATTCAATATTACACTATAATTATTATATTATAGCATTGTAAGTTATTTACTTTTTAGTGTCTGTTTACATGGTACAGGATTGGGCTAACTCTTCCCCCCCTTTTTCTTGGTTGTTGTTTAATGGAATAGTAAGCCCTAGAATACAAACACTAAAAGTGTGCAACACAAATAATACAAATTCGTCTTTATTTMTTCGTAATTCCATCTTTTCTGTAAAATGTGGATATATTTCGACAAATGGTAATTTTGACAAATGGCTAAATGTTGCCTGATTTTAGTGTTTGTTTTCTACTAGCTAGGTTAATCCATCCCCATTTATACAGACTCTAAGTTATTCCTACGAAAACCTTTGTATAGCTAAGCCAATCATTTGGAGAATTTACTTGGYACCTTGTTTTCCTAAATTCTCTTGATTGATGGCTCCACTCCAGAAATCAAAATGTTTGATACAAAGGTTTTAGCAGCATTTTCATTCATTGTAATATTATCATTTTTCCATTCCATACCTCATTTCAAATTGTAAATCATTGAGTTTGTTCTTATCATTTGTTACTTTATGCACCATTTTGTGTTGAACGGTAGGAAAATAAGCCTGTGAGTGTTTATATAACGGTTCGTGTAACGGAGATTTTCTTTGTTATCGACATCAAATTTCCCCGGATCCGGGTTAAAAGTACCGCTGATGCTCGTACCCTTAAAAGATCACSAAAGWCTTAGAAAAAGGGCGTGGCTAACTGATTTTTAATCCCTAAGACATTGYACAACTAAATTAAATCAGTTTCAGTGATGAAATGTATAAAACATTTAATGGTAAAACAAAACGTAGATAAAAATCAATATCGATGCGCTCWTTCTTTTCTTTTCCGACACCGTAAAAGATTCCAGATCACGAATTTTTACCCATAAGAGATCCGACGAGCATTCCCCATACGTTTGTACCCCAGATTCCTGCCCGGGAAATTTCCGGGATTATGTGGACAAACCTAATACGCCTTTCATACGTCACATCCCACTGTAGTTGAACTAAATGCAAATTACTCACACTCGCAATGACTTCGTTAAACAAGCTTTATCGTTAAATGCCGGAAACTAATTTTAACAAAACTTTGTTCACACGACAAGAGCTGCATCCATATGATTCCGGAAATTTTCAAATACGGTCCAAAGAATGGAATGATTGAAAACACCTCTAAGTGCATTATATGAAGTGGGCTGGCTCGGTTGATTTGGCTGATTTCTTGTTTTTCTTTCCCCTCAGGGAAAAGAAAACATAAGACACCAGTCCRTTGAACCGGGTCAGCCCGCTTAAAAAATCGTATCGTGTTGACCTTCAACCAACGTTCTCACGGGCTTATTTTTAACTGTAATTAATGTTGTCATTAGTCTTCACTGCACTTTATCATTTTATTTTTCCATCTTTCCGTGCAATACCAATGTGCATGTGTAAAGAAACCTAAGGAGGTCGTTTATGCTGACCTGCATTTCCAGGATCGATATCCAAACGGGGGAGGCCCACCACCGCAGTACACCGCCGCGGACTACGCCGAAGTACGACCTAGCCCACCAAACCGAAACGACAGCCAAATGGAATGGGATAAAGACGTCGATGAAAAGAATGAAATGTGGATTTAATCGCGTGGTGTAAGCTCAAGTAGAATATAACTTTTTTATAAAATCTTTTCATACAATTTTCTCTCATGGAGAACTCGACACACAGTCATACGCGCCCACGTTTTAATCTTGCAAATTAATATAGGCAAATAAGAGAAAAACAACGGATGTCTTAAGTTAAAGTTTTTTGGTATCTAAATACTTATTATGAGTTCAAACTTGTTGGATTAGCTGAACACATCAACAGTAACAACTGACAACTTTTGAATTTTGTCTTATGTGGGCGTAGCAATAGTTTGTAATTACAGGGAGTCTATTTGTYTTTGCAATTTCGGAACGTCTGTACTTACCGTTCTAAAGTGTTTTCGTATGATTTAAGTTTATATCTTTTGAGCTGCCGAATTGAGCTATAAGTTCSTGAAGACGTTGTCTGTGCACATTTGTACAAAGCATTTGTAAAGCAACAGTAGTAGGATAAGAATCAATGTAATAATTATTGTAACAATTTCTTTTTAATTCTGTTATGCAGATAATATCATTGTAATATAGCTTCACATGAATACCTCCATCATCGCAGGCTCCGAAAACGAATGTCTTTGAAATCAATATTTGTTTGCACAGATTTTTTTCGTTTTTATTCGAGTTTTATTTTGGTATTCTTGTTATACCAACGTATGCAGGTATGTTATTCGAAGTCTACGTATTACTTGCAAAGGTCAAAACGTCTTCCACAAGTTTTCATTTTTCGATTATACACCCATTGCTGTTTCTTTTGCTATTCACAATMAACCTCAAACAATCACAAATCAAAATACATTACACGCAGCCGTACATATAGTCGTAGAAATGATGACAGAATTGGCCAAACACAGCAAAAGCTCTTGTTGTCGGTGTTCTATKCCAGAACTTCATGCCATCACAATTCAGTTTGTTGTAAGACCAATTATGAATCARTTTTCTTTCCATTATACCAATAGGTTGTTTGTGAGGACGTCATCTTTACAACTACCAGAATGCTTTGCGACCATATTTTAAGAGCATGAAAATACGAAGAGCGTTCTGTTTGTTGTAGTAAAAAGACGCCATCTTGCAAATGTCATTATTCTATATAATTCAATTTGTAATAGTTGTATATTTACTCATTGGTAATATGCTGTAAGCTTTAGTATAAAACAATGTAAACGACAAGAAAATATTATGTGATAAAGAAAAAATAAATCATAAAACTAGGAAGGCATGAGCATTTTGTGAAATACAAAATCATGGTGAACTGTGGTCTATCACAAGTACAAACAACATCGTGTTTGATTGCTTTAAGATGTTTGTACCGAATCCAGACCACAAAGTGATGCATAATGCTATTTCAGAAAATGCCTATGTCAGGAAATGCACCGACGAAATAGCCTCTACGCATCGTACTTACCATAGAGAATTGTCGAGTTAAAAGCTTGGTTCTTTGACTCCGCCATTTCGACCAGTTATCACGGTTTGTTCTGTACATACAAAATCAAATGCTTTTTGATGTTATTAGTAGGTCACGGACGTTTCTGTATGCCATTGATCGTAGTAGGCGGAACATACTTTTGCCATAGCTAATGATTAGACTTGTATTGACCTACAAGCTGCTTACGACACTCTTTGTCTCTTTCATAGTTTAAGTATACTGTAAAAGTTGTAGGGTAGAGAATTTTAGATATATTTTATATACTYATGTCTAACTATAGTGTAAATTGATGATCTAACGCTGTTATCGCACCTCGCAAGTTATTTTGTCCCTATATCAAGAATCGTTGCACCAAACTCTCTATTGAGGAGAAAAAAATATCACCRGAAAGCTACTATAGACATTTCCCAAAAGCCAGTATAACGATATACAGCAGYTTCAGAAAGCTTTGAGAACTGAAGAAAGTTTATCCTAATACCGAAATGCATTGTTGGTCGTCGTATCTGACTATGATTATGCTGCTCTGYAACTTGGATGGAAAGTATTGTTTAGCATGCATTTCGGAATTAGAATAGGCTATGCAATTTCGCAGTACTTCATGTTTAATAGATGGAAACCGCAAAAAATAATCATAGAATTAAAAAAAAACTAACCCCATGACCTGTCACCCGTAGATTTTATACAGAGGGGTCACAGGTACCAAACTCCCAAAGCTCAATGCAACGATTTCTGCTATGAAAAACTGATTTYGATTCTATCATCCTAGAATTGATGGTAGTTTCCAGTCCATACAAACCTCACTGCACTTTTTTTTTCTAAGAGCGATTTAGTTTTTATTGTTATCTGTAAAATTATACAATATGTAGTATTTCTCAATTTTTGCTGTTGTAAATTGATGTTTTAATAAAATTTCAATTAACTACACACAAAAGTGTTTTTTTATTCCTGCGGCCAGTAGACCCACTCCAAGTCTCGCTCGATTTTGACCATTATTGATAGTCACCACCTCTTTACTCCGACGAAGGATTAACGTCCGAAACGTCAGTAAGTTATTTCACATACTTTTTTTACGGTGTTAAATTTATCTTTTTACACAACTGTTTCATTATTGCTAGTCACCATCGTAGACTATGTTTCGTTTCTTCTCCCTTTGGAGTCCTTGTTGAAAGAGCGAAGAGTGGGCGACGGGGTAGGGTGATAGAAAGCCCTACAAAGGGGAGGCTGCGAAGGACTCTACTCACGGCCCTAACAGGGATTATTCCACGCAAGGTGAGATTCTGCAATCAGTAATGTTGCTCTAGAGAACGTCGATGAGAATGTMGAACGCCGATTGCCGAAGTGAGATTGCATGACCGAATGGGACTATGGTTAAATTGGTGAAAAAAAATTCACTGGTTTCGCTTTGCCTTGTGAAAATGGAGCCTTAATGGAGTTGAYGTTAACCGCAGACCTTACAGTATGAATCAGTTATCATTTCACAAAAATTAGCAAAACCTATGGCTCCATTCGGTAGTGCAATCTCTGTTCGACAATTGACATTCGACATTTTATCGGACAACCTTGTTTGAATTTCTTTTGAAATATGTATCCAATATGTATATTCATTTTGTTGGAATTATGGTCTGAACTGCGGCGAATAGAAAGTGAAATATGATCGTCGCATTTTCAGGTGATAATGATAATGATTTTAAAATATTAGACGCTCTGARAGCGTGAAGTCGCTATTACGGACACCCTCGGGACCGAAATTTAGTGTCCGAAGTAGCGAGAGTCCGTAAGTAATAACAGGAGGCTACTTTCAGTCATTTTTTTCCATTTTCAGTATTTCGTGTCCGTAATATCGAAGTGTCCGTTATAGCGGGGTGTCCGTAAGGCGAGAGTTGGCCGATGTCGAATGAACGATCGCACTCTAAATAAGAAAAATTAGGCACGCGCTATACGCCGAACTTCACATGTTGCGAATACAACTCCTATTTTARTCGACTTTTAAATGATTAAATACGGCATTTGATTTAGACGCCCGAATTTAAGTGACGAATTTAATTCCCAATCCACTCTCGGTCAAAAAACTTACAACAAAATTCACTTTTTCATGTTTCTATCTTTTATCCCTTTACAACTGCTAATGCTAACTCTTTTACTCATTTTCTTCTCGCTTTTCTTCATTCTTTCGTCTCTTTATTCTTCTCCCCGCCTGTCCATTCCCATACACACTTTCAATTTCATGTTCATTATTATCCTTCCCTTCTCAACATGTTCATTGTTCCCTATCTCTTTCCCACTCATTTATTATACTGCTCACCTCTTACTATCACCCCCACACACTTACAACATCCAGTCATCAACAATCATTTCCCTTTCCCCTGCCCAAATACATGCCACTTTCTATTTCATCAATATCATTTCCCTTCCCTTCTT